ATTGCCCTGTCCTTCAGCTTGTGGTATTTTAGAACATTTTTCATCCAATGCATTTACAACTCCTTTAGTTAAATTGTAAAATGTTATTATTTCTCGTTTTCCAGTTTCAAGGTCTTCTGATTTTGAATGATGCATTGAAGAAATGAGAATAACACCTTTTAATTTTTGAGGCACATATGAAACGAGAGTCATTCTATCTGTGAATGCATAAAGGGAAGATCCTTCACTTTTCATTTGGTTTGGAAAAAGTTCACCTGGTATCTCTGTTATTATTTTTTTTTCATAGTACCAACATATGTCAAACCTCTAGAGTTAAGTTCTTGCACAAGTTCAATACTCAAGTAGAAATAAAGCCATATCTCCGTCATGCGAGGAAAAAGTAACGTAAATGCAGAGGTGAGGTCTGTATGACCGAGGCCCAATTAAAAAAATTATTTAAAAAAACTGATGGAGAGAGTTTAATGAAAATTTAGAAAGATTTATATTTTATGTCAACTTGAAAGTACTGAAAAGGAGAAGAATAATTATATAGCTTATAAGCAGTTTGGCAGTTCTAAAATATTGGCACGGTCATACAGTCCTCACCTCTGTGTTTAAGGGTTAAATACTCATGAGCTAAAATTTGCATTCTATTAGGAAAATGAAAAGGGAGAAGTGATAGTAAAGATTTGTAACATAAAATAAATTGTTAATTGAAATAAATACCTTACAACTTTACTTGTGCCAGAATGTTGAAAAACATTACCAAACTGTGTCTTTTGAAACTGTTCCTGGAGAAAATTTATCTCTATTTTTATATCCTTTTGCAAACCTGAAGGGAAAAAATATATATATTATTATATGAAAAGTTTAAAGTGGATAACAATATGCATGAGATACATATTAAAATAAAGTGCTTTGTTGAAGCATCTTTTTCTCAGAAAATTCTACAAATTTACAATCTCTCAACTGCAGAATTATGATTAAGAATTTTGCTTTGAAATATCTGGGCCTAAATTTGTTTTTGTTCTTTATTTTAAAAGGAATTACTAAAAAATGTATAAGCTTTTCTATAGACATTTTCTAATAAAATTTTAGTTCTTTCATTTCATTAACTGATCACAGGGATTTTCTATAAAAGATAATGTTAAGGCTCTAAAAATAGAATTATTTAAAGAGCTTTGGATATTCTTTTTATCTCACTAAAGCATGCTTATTCAGTAGATTCAAATCCACTTTAAAATATTGCCAACTACAATGTTACCCATAAAGTAACTGAGCAAATTAAGAGACTAAATAATAAAATAAAAAATCTGATGTGGGCACCACTTGACTTCCTTGTACAGCATATTAAATTATACACATTTTTTTTTGTTGCATTTCATTTGAACTTATTTCTTCAAATTTTTCTTACTTAAGTAACTGATACCTCAAGGTAAGTTGAAAATGACATCAAAAACTGCAAATTTTTAAATTTAATATTCCACTCAGTTTTTGTAATACAGGAGTGAAGCTTCTTATAATTTTACTTTTTCATAATGAGTATATAAGTTTCCCAAATATAGAAATTGTAGTAAGCTCGCCTAAAAGTTACCAGGAGCTGTTGCTCCAAAAAGTTCAACACGTTTTAAAAAAATTAATACATATGAAAATCAAACCATTAAACATGTAAAAGATTAAAAAAAAAAAAAAAAAAAACAGATAAAAAAGTAAGCGGAAAATGGTAAATTAGCTTAACTCCCAAATATAAGTATAGGAACCGGGAAACCACATTAAAAGTTAGATTTCATTTTTGCCCAAATGAAAATATGTAAAAAAAAAAAAAAAAAAAAAAAAAAAAATATAATAATAAATACTGAGGAATTAAAATTAAATAAAATGTAAAGAAATAAAAGTACTTTTCTGTTATTGGGGCAGATTAAAAAAAATGTATCTATTTTTTTTTTTGTGTGCATGCTTACACATATATACATACATACATTTCTGATCCTGGTTAACCCTTTGCGGCATGGTGGGTCAATATATGACCCACATAATTAATATTTATTTTCTCAGTTAGCAATTTCCGTTAGAAATTCTCTAATCTTTTAAAAATAATCTATTTTAGTTATTGTTTTTCTCAGTAGATGTCACTATTATACCAGGGCTTAAGTTTATAAGCAAATATATTCAAAATAAGATCACAAAAGTGATATCCATGTGTCTTGCAGTTTTCAATATTTTAAAAATTTTGGTATGCAATTTATGATATGTATGATTCTTTTTAATATTCAGCCCACCAGCGGCCGAGCGGTAAAGTCGCTGAACACTGGTAGTTCGGTCCGAGGTTCGAATCCCGCGAACGGGCTGGCTGCATGGGTGTTTTCGTGGTTTTCCCCATGTGTAACGTATATAAGAGCCAGTTTCTCTAAGAAAGTCCTCCACGAAGGCATCCAACCCCGTAGGCAGATAGCCCTCGAGGCTTTGCCATAATTAAATAACCTAACCTTTTTAATATTCAAAGGTATTTTATTTTCAAAAATCTTAATTGGATTCAATATTTTATAACATTAATTTTGCAGTTGAAATAAGTGGGTTAAAATTTGTCCCACCACACACTTGAATTTTCGCTCAACAGATGGCAGCACTCACGATTATTTTTCTTTTCTTTTTTTGCATCTACTTTTCCCGAAATTGTGCGTTCTTTTACATCCGTTGTATGCTCTGATGTGCTGAAATGTCTAGAAAAAAATTAACAACTCAGGAAGCTTTGGATCTTTTTGCTGAATTGCCATCCGATTGAGACTCAAATGCTTCAGATGAAATTGAAATCCAGGAGAGAATAACTGAGGTTGAAGTTATTGCTGAAGAAGAAAGGGAAGTAGTTATAATTTGTTTTGCTTTTTAAAGACACAGACCTATCTATGCATGTGGCTGCCATCTATGCATGTGGCAGCCATCTATGCATGTGGCACTGTAAATATGAATCGGAAGTATCTACCCACAAATTTATGTCAAAAGGATATATAGACTTTTCAGTTAGCGATGATTCAATTTATTGCATAAAATGGAAGGATAAAAGATCCGTTTCTATTCTGTCTTGCTTGGAAAAGGCAACTGAAATGAAAGAAACTAATAGAAAAGAACGAGATGGAAAGACATAAATAAATAACAATAAACAACAAAAAAAGTAGTGTGCCCAAACAGCATTATTTCATACAATAGAAACATGGAATGTGTCGACTTGATTTGATCAACTGAAAGGACTTATATGAAATAGGACCGCAAAAGCAAGAAATGGTGGCACAGGATATTTTTTTTACTTTTTACATGCGAGTATAGTAAACGCATTTATTCTATTTAAGTTTGTTCGCGAACCACGATCATGTTGTAAAACACAATGAAAGATTTTAGTCTCTCAGTTATAGAAGGTGTAATGGCACTTGCAGGCAAGAAAAGAGCTGAAAGAATGAACTGAAATCCCCAGTTCAAATAAAAACTAAAAAACCATTCGTACGTACAGCCAGAAAGAGACTAAAAAATGTAAGTTCACACACCAGAGAGAACGAGCAGCATGAAAGATGTGCATATTGCAGCACATCGAAAGAAGAACGCCGAACATTTTGGATGTGTGAAACATGTGAAGTGCCTCCATACTTACAAAAGAATGAAACAACATTTTTTCAAAGTTTTCATGAAAAATGACTTTTTTTTTTTCATTTTTAATCATATATAAATGTTTTTGAATCAAGTGCCAATTTTAATATTTTATTTAGTATCATATGTATGTGTATCAAATTTTAATCTTAAAATAATATTGAAGAAAATATTTTCTTTTGTTCCTAAAATTTAAAAATATTCAATATATATATGCAAAATGTGCATATGCAAAATTTTACAAGTCATGCATATATGCAATAAGTACAAAATGCATTTTAGTGTGTTTATTATGAATATTTTAGAATGCACGCTTTATTTTGTTTATTCATTCCACATATCATTTTTTTCCCTGCTGTACACCTATATGCTATAAGACATGTGCTATTTGCATGGTGGGACAAACGGTATCCCACCTTCCCCCGTAAAAAATAAAAGCGCAGAATTTTTTTCAAGCCTTAAATACACTTAAGTAAGTCCATCTGACTTATTCTAAGGCATTTTTTTAAAGATTAAAATATATTTTAAATATGCGTGTCGCAAAGGGTTAAAGAAAAATAAAGTACAATAGAATCTCAAAGCATTTTCCCACAACAATGATTTTCCTGCATGTGTCTTTCACCATTTTTGGTCCTGACTGAAGTTGTATTGAAATACTGTTATGATAGCATCCATCATTCCTCGAACTGTTGTTTTGCCACATTAGTCATTTACATAACACATTTCCAGATCAATATTTCTTGCATGAATCATTTGGAAAATAAATTTGATGTGAAATATGCATATTATAAGTAATTATAACTTTTACTTTCTGTTTAAGTAAAATTGGATATTTCTTTCAAAATACATAATTTTAATTTCATCTTGCACATTTTACTACATTATGGTGATGCATCCATATCTGGCACTGTGTTAATACTCCACATGTGATTGTCAACTTCATCTCAGTGTTATCAGCATCATTTTTTAATGCTGTTTTGCTGCAAGTTGTAACAAATTTCTGTTAATTTTCATTAGTTATTTCTGTTAGTTCTGAGGGATTTCAAAATTGCATTTAACTTTGGATGTTCTAGGAGAATAGAAAGCAGAAATAAGAAATGAATGACTAATGGTACTGAGTTTCGTTGAGCCTTATGAACTTTATGGAAGGCAAAAGGGCTTGCACATTGCTTCCAGTTGGCAGAAATCTAAAAACAGTTGTAGTTTCAATTGGAACAAAATTCTTCCGAGAAGCAAAGGACAAAGTGCAGTTTTTTAATTACCTATCAATGTAAAAATCACACTGTTGTTTTTCTTACATTTAAGTGTTTCAGTGGAAAGACTTTATAATGTTTTTATGCCGCCATTGTAAAATCCTTGTATTGTAAAAAGCATTTCTTTTGCAGGTTTGATATTTATAGGAAAATTCCAAAAGACTTAACACAACCTACATTAACAGGAGCTATCATATCTGTTTGTTGTTGTTGTTTCATTGCAATTTTATTTCTCAGTGAATTCCTTCATTTTATAAGCATCAGTGTGTAAGTACTATTTTATATTTTTATTCTGTCTGCTGTAAATAAGTTTGAATGTTTGTAAATCTAGCAGCAAATAAATAAAATTTGATTCCATGATAAAACATGCTAATGTGAAAAATGTTCACTTAGTAATTCTATGCAGGAGGAACCTTAAAATTGTAAATATACAGTCAAAAGTCTTTAATCCGGACTCGTCGGGACTTTGGCGATTCCGGATTATCGATTTTTCCGGATTATAGATCATCAGTTTAAATCTGGTAAGATGGCATGCAAAAATTATAAAATAAAAAATATGAAACCGTAATTTATAAAATAATGAGCAATTATGATCTAAAGGGTATCAAAATTTACAAAAAGAAGCTTAGTATTTATTTGTTTACTTTATTAAACATTTCTTTCAACGCGCACATGCGTAAAGCATACCTTACGCATAGCTGAAATTAGAAAATTGCAACCAGAAAACTATTTGATTTGTATTCGTGATATTTATAATGACGAGGAATTTGATTTAAATCATATCAAAGACGGAGTACATCGAGATTAAATGCTACATTTAGTAAGGAATTATATGCCTTCATCCATTTTTTGTAGCAATTCGTTTTTTGTTTGATGGACATCAAAACATACTTTTGCTTTCTAGATCCTTTGGGAGCTCCAGCATTGGAAATTCTATTTGACATAATCAAAAGTTCAAGCTTACTTTTATAAAATTGCTCTTACAGTCTGCAAAAAAATAATAAGCCGGATCCAATTCGAAGATTAAGGAACAACGCAATCATCAACATTAACTGAAATAGATAATTAGATAATTTTAGCTTATACTGTCTGTTATACATTAAATGCGCATGCAAAAACGTATTCTGCGCTTGCGCAGACGCATTTGCGCAGTCGTAAATGTCTTGCGTGCACGCGTAAAACGCCTATGCGCATGCATCAACGCGGCGTATGTGCAGAAAGATTTTAGCTTTGAGGTCCGGATTATGGGTGTCCGAATTAACGACTTTTGACTGTATTTGCTAAAAATTGTACACGAGGTAAAGTACAGGTATAAAAAATATACATGTAAAAGAATTTTCAGCTTTACAGCATTGTCAATAATATATTTTCATTGAAGCATTATCAATGTGCCGTGAAGTCAGTTCAAATGTGTATTCTTATTGATATTGTTGCGTTTTACGGGTTCATAGATTTGGAGTGATTGATGACAACACTTGATGAAGATTTAAAACACATTATTAGAGTTATTAGTTATTAGAGTTCCAAAGCCACAGTTACAGTCATCAAAAGACTACGATAAACACGCTGAAACAATCAGCAACACAGCCTTCAAGCTGGAAGGATAAAGACAGTTTCATGGCAAAGCACTAAAGCACAGCTCTCGACTCAGTTCGGTTGCTTTCAAGCTAATCTCTGAACTCTACCACTCTGCTACTGAACTCGACATACTGTGGATACTCCTCTACTCTGCATACAGGCAGAGTATGTATAGCTTTTGACTTGCCTTTAAGCATATTCTCAGGAAAATCGGTAAAAATTCGTTCTAGAATGTGCTCCGTCTGTGGCATATTGCCAATTTTGTCACCAAATGGGTGATTTCATGGCAAATCTGGCAACACTGTCTTTGTCACTTTCTGGCAATCCTAACCTGCTTTGTGATTTGCAGATATAAAATAAAGAGTAAATTTATAAATAAAATTATAATAAATTGAAAGTTCTTGAAAATCAATGCTTATATTTCTGGCTCATAGCAATTCAAAAAGAAATTAGAGGGTGTGTTTCCATGTGTATCAGTTTCACATTAGACTGAAAATATTAATGGAAAATTCAAAGAGGTTAAGAAACCTAATGGAGCCGCTGAAATCGTTTGATGTATAAATCTTTATGTTGGTAATTCATTTGCTTGTGAGGGTGAGATATGAATGGTTAATTTGAAGCATTGCAGTAGTGGTATCTTATAATTGTTATTGTATGAATGTTGTTCTGTATTTAAAACATTAGTTTCACCAGTTAGGATTGGTAACCATTGTTTAGGAGTTGAAGCTTAAGGGTTAGACCAAAAGTGTGCTTATGATCGCTTATATTAAAGCGTAGTGAGTATTGTGTTCTCACTATAAGTGTGCAGAGTAATAATGCACTGGTATAACTGTAGAGTGTGCAAGCCGTTTTATTATGTGGGGTTCGTTGTGTTCTCATTTATGCTCCAGAAGATGAAGCTGAGCCTCTTCATGTTCCAAGATATAAGTGTGAGCTGAACCTAGTCAAGGGATATGAAACAGAAATAAAACTTGGAAGAAGCAGACCCTACCATGTCCATTGTCAACAATCTGTTATAAAATGTTATGACTAATTAAAGTGAAACAGTAGTATTGCTATATGTTAAGGAAGTACTGCCTACTGTGTTACACAACAAGTTTTCTGCTGTTGAAATGAGGAACAGGTGTTTGTTGATCTGATGATTTAGCAGTTAGACAAAAAATGCATTCATGATCAAAGGCTAATTAAAAAAAAAAAAACTAATTTTTGTCTTAAGCGCATTGCTATATAGTTTTTCTTATGTATGTTGCAGTAGATGAAGATTTCAGTTTTAAATAATCTTTGAAACTGAATGACTGTCTAAAAGCATAAATTTCAACAAGGGATTTAGTGCATATAATTTAATGTTGCATATCCGACATGCGCCTTGTTTATGTTGGATGATTTCCTGAAAGCTTATACAGTCAAAAGTCGTTAATTCGGACACCCATAATCTGGAATGATCTATAAATCCGGACCTCAAAGCTACAAACTTTCTGCGCATGCGTCGCGTTGACGCTGCGAATTTGCGTGTGCGCGTGTGCAAAATACGTTTACGAATGCGCGTTTAATGTATAACGGACGGGATAAGCTCAGCTAAAATTATCTAATTATCTATTTCAGTTAATGTTGATGATTGCGTTGTTCCTTAATCTTCGAATTGGATCCGGCTTATTATTTTTTGCAGACTGTAAGAGCAATTTTATAAAAGTAAGCTTGAACTTTCGATTATGTCAAATAGAATTTCCGATGCTGGAGCTCCCAAAGGATCTACAAAACGAAAGTATGTTTCGATGTCCATCAAACAAAAAACGAATTGCTACAAAAAATGGATAAAGGCATATCCTTTGTTTATCTAACTGTTCCGAAATCTTTATCAATTTCACGCTGCTCTGCGCGGGGGGGGGAAGGGGGGGTTGACGTCGCAGCACGCAATGAACTGGAAGTTGATCTGTCAGTACTATCGTTATCTTCAGAGCAGATGTTTTTATTTTATTCGGCTTATAATTATTTACTAAATGTAGTATTTAATCTCGATGTACTCCGTCTTTGATATGATTTAAATCAAATTCTTCGTCATTATAAATATCACGAATACAAATCAAATAGTTTTCTGGTTGCAATTTTCTAATTTCAGCTATGCGTAAGGTATGCTTTACGCATGTGCGCGTTGAAAGAAATGTTTATAAAGTAAACAAATAAATATTAAGCTTCTTTTTGTAAATTTTGATACCCTTTAGATCATAATTGCTCATTATTTTATAAATTACGGTTTCATATTTTTAATTTTATAATTTCGGCATGCCATCTTACCAGATTTAAACTGATGATCTATAATCCAGAAAAATCAATAATCCGGAATCGCTGAAGTCCCGACGAGTCCGGATTAAAGACTTTTGACTGTATATTTTTTTCTAATGTTAAATAAAAATGTTAAAAAATCCTCGAGCCAAGCTATCATCGACTTTTAAATTTATATTGACTTTTAAATTAGTGAACTAATGTCTTCTTAAAGACGATTAAAAATTTTTTTTTGATAACAATTGATAATATTGCAGTTTAAAGGTATTAGGAATTGGAAAGGAAGTTATGAAAATAGGGATTTAAATAAACTCAATATCCTTTTAAGAGCCACAAGTTTTCAGCCTCTCAAGGATGTCAATATCTGTATGTTGCCACTCACAAATTTTCTCGTGTAATGGCAAAAATCTACTCGCGATATGCTACAAAATATTTTCAGAATTTATCGGAATCTGATATTCTTCATTTTCAGTAACATTCGAATTACTCTTCCAGTATAACTTTTAAATTCTTAATTGGTGTAATTAATCCGCTCTGAGCTGAATTTTTACTATATTTTCTGATGTGCCAGGGAAGCCTTCACGGAAGATGTGATGTTTGCTTGTATTGTATGATAAAAATTCCATGTAACTACTAAACTATTTAGTTGTCGAGAACTGAAATTCGATATATTTGGAATATATCATTTATCTTAGAAATACAAGCACCGGTGGATTGCATTTTAAAGTAAATTTTGGCAATGAATGCAAGGTTGGAAAAAGATTCTCATGCAAAATGGATTTTGCTGTTCGTTTGACTATCAACAATAGAACTACCAACAGTTAATGTTCACCTGTTTCTACAATGGGAGAAAATCCATCATTTTGATGAATTACAGTTCTAGCGCTAAACGTATTCTGAAAACCCTGAAATAGTAATGCATTTTCAACTAACTGCTTTTAAACCTAATGGTTTCAAAAGTTGCCGCCAACTGAAGCGTGTTCTTTTAATAATTGGTTTACAGCTAATGCGTGCTGTTCGTTAGTTGAAAGGTTAATAGATTTTCTGAGGTTAACCTAAATGTCGGAATTAAAGATATCGGTATTTATCTGCTTCCTGACGTCTAAGCGTTGTTAGAAATTTCGATACAGAAAATTAATGGAGAGTGTTCTTTTTCAATTTGAATACAGCAGAATTCAGCCATTTTTATGATGTTATTGTGTATTTGTGAGACATGTTATAGATCAGGAAACAGCGAAAATTTCCTCTTAACGTTTTTGTATCATAATTCGGGATATAATTTAATTAAAATTGTATCTGAAAAGAATAATATTCATAATGTAAACATTTTAATGTTATCGCTGGAGTGATTAGACTAAGTGAATATTCAATGAAAACTCTTGACAAGAATGAAAGAGTTTGCTAAAGAT